TACCTTAAGTAGCTTATTATTATTAATATTAATACTATTTAGCTTAAGAAGCTATACTTTATTAAGATCTATAATTATAGTATCTAGGTTAAGTAGTAAGTTAAGTAGCTATAATATACTTAATACTATATAAGTATTTATATCCCTATTACTATTAGCCCGACTATATACTAATATATTTATACCGTAGGCTACTTTATACGTCCGAGTATTAAATAAGTAAGACTATTTACTTCTAATAAGGTACTTATAATTACGAGAGGCTAAATAGCTTACTTACTTAATACTAAAGAACTTTACGGGTAGTAATAATAATAATAGTAATAATAATAATAGTAGCGCCTTAATACTACGATTTTTAAATAATAAAATAAGTTAACTATTACGAGCGGCTTTATTTTATTATATTAATAAATCCGTATATAGACTATATATTTATATTATTTTACTTACTAAACTATTTTTTTAAATTCGATAGGAATAGTAATAGTAATAATAGTAATAGCGTCTAATAAACTTAGGGATTTTACTTAGAAATATAAGTAGCCGCAATATCCGTATATTTATAATAATATTATAATATATATAAATAATAGTATATTAATATATTCGTTTAAATATATTAATATCCGTATATCCCGAGCTACGGGATTACCCCTTAGTACGGTCTTTTAATACCCTATTTATAACTTTTAAAACTCTTAGTTACTCTTAAATAACTATTACTATATACGTAACTATTATATATATTATTACTATTATAAGATAAGTAATAATATCTTATTTAGTAATAGTAGTATAGGGTCGCGCGACTGTGTTTATATTTATAATTAATATATTCCCTTATACGCCCCCAGTAAGGTACTTGGCCTATCACTATCGCCTCCAAAGGGAGTTGGTTTACATAGAGTCTCGTCCCCAGCGAGCCCACGATGTGCTCGCCTTCCTCTCGATGAATACAAGCAACGGTTACCAGGTTGCCAGTGACCACCCCTTCCAGTTTGGCATTGTCTGCAGCGATATTATGCAGTTTGCTACTATTTGGTTGTCGCGCCTAATCGGCATCCCTGTTCCAACGAAAGACGAGTTGGGTCGAGGTGTTTGCTTGACAATTCCACCAACACCAAGCTGTCGACTCTTCCCCAGTATAAAATGGCGGGTCCCGAGTATGTGACTTGTTTCTCGCGTAACTTTCGTCTCATCATCCTCGAAAAGCAGTAAAACAAAGTCCCCGATCGGCCGTCAGACTACTTCGTGAATATGGGAGAAATCGCGGCCGAAGCCTCTTTGGAGCTCAGAAAGCTCGCGGTGGATCTGCTCAATGAAGTGGATGCGTATGACACAGCCAACGTCTTGAATCCCAAGAGCGATCGCGACTTCAAGTCTAGTATTATCCAAAGAGCACAAGCCATCATCGACAAGCTCGAGGACACTCCACGGGAGAGGGCTATGAATGATTGCATCAAGGTCGGCGAGATGACCGCAAAGCAGCTCTTCAATGCCTGGGGGGTCTTCCAAAAGATCCCAGTACAGGGTTCAATTTCATACGAGGAGTTGGCTAATATTGTTGGATGTGAGCTGCAGCTGCTCGGTAAGATTACCACCATACCCCTCGGTTTCAAGATGAAGGACTCATTGTCGACTTTCCCGTTCTAGTTCGCCTCGCGTGGATGTTGAACTCCACTGGCATCCTGAAGCAAGTCGGTGAGGATGCTGTGGCCCATACTGAAAAGTCCAAAATGTTCATCAATGACAACCCAGACGGGGATCTCACCAGAATCATGTAAGTGCTTGATTACGGCAATCCACGAGTCTACTTACGAAAAGCTGACCTGTAAGCTTCGTACATGGCATGGTGTCATACGCCCAGTTCGAGAAGTACTTCCATGCCTACGGGCTCCAAGAACCACGAGGCCGAACACACGTTCCATACACCTTTGCGTACGGCCAGCCAGAGAAGAACGTTTGGGAGGTCTCTCTCCAGAATCCTGATGACAAGAGGATCTTTTTGCGTTCAATGAAGGCAATGGGAATGCTTCTTCCGGCCTGTGGCGTCTACGACTTCTCCTGGATCTCAGATGCCGCGCACTCAGGACCAGCTGACAGGCCCCTTTTTGTTGATGTTGGAGGCGGTAGCGGTCATGCCATGAGGATTATCTGCGACGACTATGATATACCATTCGATCGATGCGTTCTCCAAGATCTTGACACAGTCATTGGCGAGGTCGCCCAATCTCAAGATTCTATTGCCTCACTAGGAACGAAGTTGATGGCAATTGATTTTCACAAGGAACAGCCAGTCAAAGGTTTGCCGGTACTCTCCCACTTCTCCAGAACGATGGCTAATATGAACCAGGCGCACTTGTGTACTATATTCGTTATTGTCTTCATGATTACAGTGATGACTTGGTGGTGGAGATCCTGGCCTGCATCGCAAGCGCCATGGCGCAGGATAGTCGTCTGTTGATCGCGGAGCAAGTCACGCCGAACCCGCCCTCGGCTCATACGGCAGCCATTGATCTTTTGATGCTGAGTGTCGGCGGTAAGGAACGGCCGAGACAGGTGTGGAAAGATGTTCTCGCCAAGGCCGGGCTGGGAAGAGTCGAGTTTTGGACATCACCGGGCAACCCGCATGGCATTATTGAGTGCTTCAAGAGATCTTGAACTGAGGTGGTTGCCTGCTTTGAACATGAGGCCTGCGTCGATTCGTTACTTAAAGTACTTTGCTTTTGAGACTAGTCTTATCAAATCTCTCCGCGGTGAAAGCTTAAGCCATTGAAGCGCGTGTGAAGCCGGGGGCCTAATCCAACTTTCTAAAGAGGATCGATGACTTAGTCTTCGAAGATTGGTCAGCCAAAGATTATAGCCACTACCTGCCAAGCCATTGTGAGATCCGATTACTGATCAAGCATTTGGACATCACGTGTCTGGCGCCCTTCTCAAGACAAATACTTGGCAGAAAGGAAAACAGGGTACTTTGGATGTTTCTGCTCCCTTTGACAGCGAGCCTCGTTAGTTGCTTCCATCACCAAGGATCGTGGAATGGCAGCGCACATACAATTGATGGAGCGTACCAGCTTTGGCAAGGATATTGGAGCAGAAAAATATGCAGTCTTAATTGTATTTCTCATCCTGACAGTAGCTCTGGAAGAAGGCTGTAAGTGTCTTTGAAGCATTTGGGCCCGTGCTTTGTTTGCTGTCTGGTCATGTTTCCAAAACACCGTCTTCATTGGTGGTCGAAGGGATCACTAATCACCTAATGTTGATTGAATAACTAATCAGTGAGAGCAAGTCTAGGCTTGTCTTCTGACTTCACGTTGCTTATAAACTACAGGTAAAATTACGTAGGGGATCCGACGGGAGGAAGCGAGGAAGTATCAAGTATCGCTTGTAAGAGAGATTATAAGAAAATGCCCCCGGCACCTTGCAGTGAGAAGAGCAGCGTGCATTTGCGGTAATTGACAAGGATCACTATAGTAAGCGCAACTCATAATTCTCAAATCACTTAAATATCTCACCAATATGGCAAACCGCCGTATCTTCGTCATTGGTGCCACTGGTGCCCAAGGTCTTCCCGTCTGTCGAGGTCTTACCAAGGATGGAGGCTACAGTCTGCGCGTATTGACGCGTGACTCCAGCTCTGCGAGGGCGAAAGAACTCTTGAAACTCGGAGATGTTGAGTTCATTGAGGGAACTTTCGCCAACGAAGATGACCTACGCAAGGGATTCGCCGGATGCTGGGGTGCTTTCATCAACATCGATGGCTTCAACTGCGGCGAGAAGGCAGAGACCTACTGGACGATCCGCTGTTACGAGCTGGCGGTGGAGCTCGGGATCAAATTCTTCGTCTTTGGAAATCTCGACTACGTTTATAAGAAGAGTGGCTATAACCCAAACTTTCGGTGCGGACACTACGACGGCAAGGGACGCCTGGCCGAGTGGATGCTACAGCAGAGAAAGGGCAATAACATGGGTGTCGCCATCTTTACTACCGGCCCCTACATTGAGATGACAATCTCTTCCAAGACGATCATGACGCCACGGGTCGAGAACGGGATTGTCACATGGAGAGTACCTCTTGGTGCAGGCGCAGTTCCCCACGTTGCCCTCGATGATTGCGAATACTATGCCCGTTGGCTCTTCGACCACCCCGAAAGATCTGATGGGATGGATCTGGAGGTGTCCATTGACCATATTCACTACGAGGACCTAGCAAAAGCGTTTGAAAAGGTCACAGGAAAGCCAGCTCAGTACATTGACACTCCCATGGACGTCTATTTCGACAACTTCCCAATCTCCAGCCAACCTGCGGGTTACAACGCTGATCCCACGGACCCGGCGACTATGTCAGTTAGAGAAAACTTCTCGGGCTTCTGGACAATGTGGACAAACTCTGGGGGCAACAAGGGCGTCATTCAACGTGACTACGCGCTCTTGGACGAGATTCACCCAGAGAGAATCAAGACGGCGGAGGAGTTCTTCCGCAGAGAGAGTGAGAAACGTCGCCTCGCTGGTCTTGGGGAGCTTTTTGAAGTCATTGAGGCAAACAACCTTGCATCCATTCTGAAGCTTGGCGAGGATAACCGCAAGGGGAAGTTGTAGTTGATTGGAAGGGGATTGTGACTTGCGTAGCAAAATTGACGAGAATCGAGCAATTCACTTACCTTTGAGAAAGAGATCAAAATTGGCACCTTCAGGCTCCAGAAATATGCATATCAGTTTGAAGTTTCCGTGATAAGTGTTGAACTTTCGCGTTCGAGGCATTCGAATACACCTGACTTGGCATCCGGACATTGCGGAGATTAGGTTGTGCTCAATGTCCGCGACGCAGACTCACTCAAACTCCCCCCGTCAAACCACTTGTACAGCATTCTGAAAGTAGATCTGCATACGTCAATCTATCGAGATACGCTTTGATCCTTTTCTTTGAACGTTGAATCAATTGCAGACCACAAGGAGTCGGTAGTTCAGGTTTAGCTGTTTGTGACCACCACGTCAAAATGCCGCGCAGAAAGATGCCTGATGCGAAGGACCGTCGGAAGCGCCAAAACGCCGACGCCCAGCGGGCATACCGTATGCAACCTAAGAACCCTTATATGATGTATTCTGCTTACTGAAAAACCAGGCGCGAGGCAGAAGACCAAAGTCCGGCATCTGGAGCAGATGGTCGCCGCTGCGTGGGTAACGCAAGAACCAACGGAAGACTGCGTCAAGGAGGTTGTAACCTACCCTCCTACTCGCTATGCGGTGGACGAGCCATCGAATAGCAAGGCAGACACATATACTGCTTCATGCAATATTACAGCTTCGGATATTTACCGGGCGTTGCTATCCCTTTCAGCCCTTGAAAATAGGAAAGGCTGGGGCATCATAGTGAGGGAGAACTTTACACTTCGTGACGTTGTCAAGTACGGATTGATAGCCATGGGATACTCCATGGACCCTGTACTTTACGATAGCGCTTTGTCGCTGTCATCGCGTGAGTGGATCGCAACTGTGAAGGCGCGATGCGGCAGTGTCGACATGAGGCAGGTTGTCATTGCCGGCCTCAGGATACTGGCTCATCTTACGGCACCGAATGAGCAGCCGGCACTTGAATGGCTCCAACCAATTTGGCCCAGCCCCTCCAGAGGCGTCCTTCACCTAAGGTCAATTTCATACGCGTCGGCAATGCGTGCGATAGCAGCTCAGCTCAGCATAACGACAGAGTATCTGATGGACGAGAACGCGCAGTCACCATTCTACAGCATTGCACATAGTCCTCTGAGCGAACACGACAACAACTCAGGCGACAATGACACAGATCTTCAAAAGATCACTCCGGATCTGAGGCCGACTTTCATCCAGCGTGCTCGTGCTCATCATCCTTGCTTCGACTTGATCCCCTGGCCATCTTTCCGCTCCAACGTCATCGCACTCGCTTCCGAGGCCTCGCCGCAGATAGACGAGGATGACCTCTGTATCGACATGCTGGGCGAAGGAATTCAATGCTGGGGCTCCGTAATGGGCTCCATGCATGGGCGTGGGAACGGTGTGCCGTGGGATGGCCGCAGCTGGGAAGCGATGCCATGGTTTTTGGAAAAATGGAAAGGAGTAATAAGAGATGATCAAGACGGCATAATACATAACAGTGCTTGGTGGAGGAGTTTACGGGGCTGTTAAGAGGCAGGGAACCTTGTAAATGACCATATGTAATGGACCTGTGTACAGATTTCGCAAATCTTTCTGGAAAGGTAGGTTCTAGTCGTTATACACAGGGGAGAAGAGTAAGGAAGACCAAGAGCAACATGAGAAATCAGGATAGGGCAGCGCCAATCCATCACGAAGTAGTATATGGCTTGAGCTGTTTCTCCGTCCACTCCCAGTACTTCTTGCCTAGCTCTTTGTCGCGGAGATCCTGTCGTCCAACTGCGAGTTGACCAAACGGTACCACTAGAACTGTCGTCAGCATTACATACAACTATTCCAATATAAGAGTAGCTTACCCCAGCCACCGTTGTTCTTCTCCGTGATGGTAGGGCTCAAGCCGGCAAAGAGCTCAGTGTATGCGCCATTGATCGGCTTATGCGCTAGGAATTTCTAGAGGACACATCAAAAGGTGGTTAGAAATAGAAGAGTTACAAGTTTTTGCGGGCACAATTTACCACAATGATCCGCTGCCACAGTGGCATGGTACGCTGCAAATCCGTCATAAAAATCCCGGGGTCAAGACTCTGCCGTCGCTATTAGTAGCCGCAAACGTCCATCAGCTCAGGGATGGCCACCAACTTACAACGCTAATGATTCCTTCGCCAGATACTCTTCTCGCGAATTCCGTTCCGTGCAAGACGTTACCGGCCTTGCTCCTCGCGTACTTTTGCACCTGGCCCTCGTCCTTTGCATAATCCATATTACTAAAGTCGATTGGCGGCTTCGGTGCCATGGCCGCCGTGCTAGAGGATACCCAGACAACTCGGACGGAGTCTCTGGGTGCAACCTTTGCCGTGCCGGATAGCACTGGGCGGAGGAAGTGGGTAAAGAGGAATGGAGCGAGATTGTTGGTGCCCAGTTGCAGCTCGTAGCCCTGGGCAGTTTTGGAACCCGGCGGTGGGGTCATCACACCGGCGTTGTTCCAGAGGACGTCAAGACGAGTTTCCTTGCTAAGAAATTCCTGGGCGGATTGCTTGATTGTGGTCAGGTCGTTCAGATCCAGATGGAGGTACTCGGCATGGCCGTGAGAATTGGGATACAGTTCCTTCAGCTCCTTGATCACGGCTACGGTCTTGGCTTCAGACCGACACGCCATGTAGATCTTGGCGTTCTTCTGGTAAAGGATCTTGGTAAGTTCTTGTCCGAGGCCACCTGAGCTTCCTGTGACAATGAAAACCTATGTATGTCAGTTCGAACCAGTATGGATAAGTGATATAGAATACGGAAGGTACCTTGTCGCTCTGATCGGGCAAATTTGCTTCGGTGAAGCTGGCCTTTGGCGGGAACATATTGCTTAATGCGCTACCCATTTTGCTGGATTTCGAAATGCTTGAGACGTTTACAGGGCTCGATGACGACTGTTGTCAAATGGATCATGATCGTTCACGTTTTATATACGACTCTGTAATGTATGATGGTCTTGGGTCTACTTTCAGTTCCGGCTGGCTCAGCTGCAGTCAACGTAAGCATCTATCAACAATAGGGCCGGGTAAGTTGGCTAGAGACGGAAACGAATCGTACAGCAGGGAGGAAACAAGCGGCATGCCACTATGCAAAGCTCCATAATATGCAGTCAACGTAAGCAAGTAAACCTTAATTCAAAACCTCTTGGAACCCCGGCTCCCGGTCTTTGGCTGGCCCGCTTATCTCCGGACTTGCACCCCGGGACCCCGTGCCTTAGATTTGGGCCGGGGCTGCAGCGAAATAAACCATTGTCTATGGTGGGATGCCCATAGGCTTGATACGACAGCTTTATGACACCGTTGCGAACCGACACCCTCCTAATACAAGGCAAAAACTGCTGTCAATGATGAATTGATAGAATGATTGGGTATCTTGAGTACTACATCAATGGAAAAAAAATGAGCAATAAGAGTCCAGCAAATGGCGCAACATGCCCATCAGCTCATGGAAGGTAGCTCAGAACGCTCGCGTCTATCCTCTGGCTATTTGGATCTTGGTAGCCTTCTAGTCCGTAGTATGGCAGATCGTGTTGCTGTGCCCCGAGCAACTCCATCCCAGGTGTGATCGTAGCCGGTTCTTGAGTTGCAAAAGAATGATTGAACTCCAAGCCCAGATTCTGCCCCTTAGAGGGCGACTGCGACTCTGGATAAGGAATATCGGCAAGAAAACCAAAGTCGAAGTCCGGAATAGCGGGATCACCAAATATGTCCAACGGATCCGGAATCTCTGGCGTTGTGCCGCCAGTCGTCATCGTTGACGGCGAAGCGTCGGTCGCGGTGAAGAAAGACGCTCCCATCTCGGAGCTTGAAGACGCATCAACACTCAGCGGTTCTTGCAGTCCTCGCTCTTGGTTCTCGAGCTGTTGGTAGCCCTTGAACAACGTGAGCTGGAGATTCCGAGCAATGTCAATGACTTTTTGCTTCATCCCTTCCTCGACGAAACTCAGCTCACGCTCGACCTCTTTTTCAAGCTGTCGGCGGACCAGCGGTGGAAGTTCACGGCGAAGATAATCTTCGAAGCCTCCCAGATTCTTCTCGGCGTCCTCTGCATTATGGTCTGCAAGAATTACAGTCAGTTCCTGCTTCCATCGGTAGGGGCATAAGCTTACACGGTGACGGAATTTCCCGCTCTCTCACGTCGGGGAAGAGGATACGGTAGACTTGAATCCACTTCTCCGCTTCGGTGAGTTCTTTGACCGACGTCTTCTTCCGAGAACGAAGCTTCTTCTCTTGATCCTGCGTGATGCCATCCAAGACCTCCGGTTCGCGTACGTCACAGGCGTCCAGCGAGCGGGCGTGGGCTTGCAGAGCCAGTTGGGTCTCGAAAGACTGCGAGCACCGCGGGCACGAGAACTTTGGAAGAGAGTGCTTGCGATAAATGTGCTCCCTGACGGGTCGTTAGCAGTGAGTTGAGATCATGTGGGAAGGGAGGATCAACGTACTTGATACGGTGAACTTGGTCCCAGCCTGGCCCACAGCATGGTCGCTGGGATTTGTACTTCCTCGGATTGTGCTTGAAGAAGGGACACGCAAGTTTTACGCCCACATTGGCGTCTTCCTGGACTTTGGACAGTTTCGCTCGGGGCAGTTGATTCCCTTCGTCCTCTTCCTCTTCTTCACCCGGCGCTCGACCGCCTGCAGACCTGTCGTGTTTTCTCGACGAGTTTTCCTTACGCCCCCTTTTGCCTGTGTGCATAGTCACTGTGCTGGTGTCACCCGCTCCTTTCTCTGCCGGTGTTTGCCGTGAAGCTCCTACCGGGTGCGAAGGAGCGGGTGATCCTATAATCGGCCACGCTGCCGAGACAAAGGATCGAGATGTTGATTCTGGATCAGCACTCCGTTTGCTAGAACGTGAGACTTCTTCGACCTCGCTTGCCCCCATAGCATTGTAGCCTGATCGCGACTGCACCTGCTGCGGTGGTATTAGTGCTGGGACTGGTAGTTCTGTCGCTGATGCTAGTGGTGGTATCCCCGCAAAATCTACCGTTGAATCGGAACTTGGCACATAGGTCGCAGATAACTGCGACCCTCGTCCCATTGGCGGCGGTGGACTCGGAGACGAAAACGCTCCAAACTGTGGCATTTGTGTTCCTGTTCGTCGCTTCATCTTTGAGACTCGCGGGGGCGGCGGTGGGAGAGCAATGTTTGAATATCTGTGGCGAGTGACGGGTGCAGGAGCACTAGGAGCTGGAACTTGACGATACATGAAGCTTTCGAGTTCATGCCCTCTTGAAGAGCTCGCCGCGCTAGTAGAAACACTTGCCAACATTGTTGGACTGGACTCGGGGAGGGCCTCGTCTGCAGCATCGCCGCCAGGGGCAGCTTCCAACAAGGCTTCCTCTATTTGCGTTTCACTCCCTTGCTCCTCCTCCTCTCGCTTGACTTGTTTCTTTATGTCAAGCCAACTCATGAATGATGACATGACCCTATCGACTATGAGGCGTTGGACCTTCTTTGTAGGGTCTTCGTTCTGATTCCCTGGCTCATCCTCTGCATTAGACGCGCTGCTCGCGGTGTCGCCTTCAGACATCGCGCTTGATCTCTCGAGTGATTGGTGACCGGGACCCCGGAGCTGGGTCGTGATATCATTCTGTGAGAATTCTGACTTGACGATTTGATCTGCGTCCAATAAACGATTTTCGACGACTTCTCTCAGTGCGTCATAAGCTGCGCCATGTCCATGGACGTCCGTATCTTTGACCTTCTTTTTCTTCTTTTTCATCGTCAAATCCAGGGGCGAAGAAGATTTCTGGCTAGTTTCCGAATGAGCAGGCTCTGCATCAAATGCGGTAGAGTTTGTGCTGAATCCTCGCTTCAGGTCTGGTAAAAGTCGTTCTAGCTTGACAGGTTTCTCGCCTTGAGTCTCTAGGGTGGCTCGCAGAGAGTCTTGAGATGGAATTTGAGCGGAAGCGGCCGGATCTGGCTTTTTGTCCCCCTCTTGGAGTTGAGCGGAGATGACTTCGACATCAAGGTGCGCAGCATCGCTTGAATGAGATGAACCGTCAGACAGGTCTCCATCATCGTCGAAGGGAGCCTTGCCCTTATTGGGGGGCGCGGGGCTCATTGTGGCGCGCTATGTACAGGCCCTGTCTGTACAGCGAGGTGAGGTAAGCTAAGGCCGATTCCGAAAGATAGAAGTCGATATTCAGACGTTGAACCGAACGGATCAGATACGAATATGAGGTAAATCAGAGCTTGGAGATGGGTAAGATGCTCAGCTTTGAAGGGGGAAATGGCTGTGGTGAGTTGTGCGCCGCTGCGCAAAACTCGGGGGGCGCACTGCGGCTGAGTGGACCCACATGGCCGAGCACCGCGCCCCACTGCCTGTACCTGCCGGCCGGCTCTCTACCTTACCGATTCGACGCCCGCGTTGTAATGGAGAGGTGAAGTTATGTCTTGCAAGAATACAGACGTAATATGCAGTCACTATAGAATGAGAGTAATTTTATGTGATTCACTGTCAGAGCGGGCAAACACATATGAGTCTGTTGCCAAGAGTACTCTCAAGGC